GGTCGCCACTACTCGAGCCCTTCCCTCCAGTTTGTCCAATGTAGCTAGCATCATGTGGTGTCGTTAAACCTTGAGATTTCTGAAGGGGGAGGCAAGGGTAGGGCTTTAAAAAGATAGCAACCAAATGGCTCCGTTTCGGATACCCCATGGTAAGCAAGATATATGGACCTCTCGAAGGAACTCTCCATCAGACCCGTCTATTAAAATGCAATTGACAGAACCCTTGGTAGTAAGTTAATATGGTCTCAGGGCTGACGATTGTTGTCTTTGCCGGAAACTTTGCGGTAAGCGTGACTGTAAAGGCCAATTTAAATGGACACGGGACCAGGAACCGTCCATCAAATTCCGGGAAAGTTAGGGTTAGGATCAGAGGAAGAGTTAGGGGTAAGTTTAAGGTCGGGGTTTAAAATCACAGCTGGCGCTAGGGTCAGAATTACGTTAAGAGTTAAGGTTTGGGTTCCTATTGACTGTGGGCTTGATGTTTAGGGTCGGCCTAGCGTAAGAATTAAGGTGTGCGTTTACTTTTACGTTAGAGTTAAGGAACAGACACATTTACTCATTGCTGAAATGGATCGCAAGGCCTCATATTTTAAGTTCTCGGGGTACTTCTATTCCGGTTTCCTGATTAGGCGACCATACAAGTCATCCCTACTGAAGTTATTTTCTCTAAATGTGTGACAGCTGAGAAAAGGCTTAGTCAGACAGGCCTAGGCAGATCCGACTTAAGTAAATACAAAAAGAAAACCACAACCACCAAAGGAAGCACTGTCACGACAGATAGCGAGCTAGTTAGCTAGCTGCCTGTTTGCAAGTTCAGACTGCCCAACACTTTTGCTCGGAACCCCCACATTTCTTCGCATCCCCGCCACCTTGTCCCACCTGTTGGCTCCGGTAAAAAGACCCTTCTGCTCCCCCCTAAGGTCGTCACTACTCGAGTCCTTCCGGCTCCTGAAAATCCAACTCATGCAGATGAAAATGCACTCTTCCGTTTTCTTTCTCCCTCCCTTCCTCTCTCCCTTCTCACACACTTTCTTTTTCTCTCTCTTGCACTCGACTTTTATCCTCTCGGGTGTGGCATCGGTGGCTAACAGCCCACCCCCCCTCCCTCCTGAGTAAGTGTGAAGCTTCGAATCAATCAGCCT